AGTTTGATAAAAGCCATTTTATTCACGAATTTAATTTAGGCACGTGCAAGCTTGCCAGCAAGTGCTTAAGGTAGTTGTCGTGGTACAATATTTTCAAAATTTTTTAGATTATACGCACCGTAAAAGTATACGAGCTTGTAGCTAAGTGAATCATAATTTATTCGCAAGACTGTACCCTGGAGACGATACCTTTACGTAATACTTTCAAATATTTTCATAAATTTTAATCCGGCAACGTCGCTTATGCTCAACCAATAGATATATTGGAGACTGAATCAGTGTTTGAATTTACTGCGGAAATAATATCTATACTCGCGTACAGCGTTGCCAAGTTGTTTTTATCTGACACTAGTGATGTATACTTTTTACAAATTGTTGAACTTTAAACAGTTATTTATAAACAATTGGACGGTCAAAAATGTTTAATTATTTTTTTTTAAACTCAGCAAAAATACATTAAAAGACTGTTAGTTTTTTGAAAGCTTCTGACAGTTAGTTTTTTTTTATAACTAAGAAACTGGTACAAAACTACAGAAAGCCTATACAATCCATGTTAATTATCCAATTTTTAATTGAATTTATCTCGGGTTATAGACGGTCAATCGACTTCAAATTTTAAGGATAATTGTAATGTCATGTCCTTAATATGTATACAAAAATTTAAAATTTTCTGATGGTATGCTTACAGCACGACAACTACCTTAATAAAGGAAGAAAAGTTTATAAACGAGTTGCATGCTATTTTTTACGACAAATACCTATTATCTAAAAATGAATTAAATTAAATATTTGTATAGAGCGACATCTATACAAAAATAAATTAACCATAAGAATGTGAATCTGTACTACCGGCGCGACGGTAAAAATGTCAAATTTGTATGTGTAAATCGAAATGTATACCTTGAAAATGGACTAACAACAGTTTTTTTACAGTGAAAGCAATGAACATGTTTTATGGGCACTTCGTGGAGTCTTCACCCGAAATTAAGTTAAATCTAGTTTACTACCGGCGAAGTTAAATGATCAGTACAATGTTCATATAATCTTTTAAAATCTTGGCGTTAATAAACTATTTAATACTTTTGGATTTTTGTATTAAGGTAATAAAATAGTTTTTATGGCGTTTTATAATTAGTCACGGGCAGAAGTTAACATCACTGGCTTTTGGGCATTTTAGTCACGAGCTCAAGTAAGCTTTATTATAAATTGCGAAAAACTAAGGTTAATTTCGTCAAATGTCAATTTTTTATAAATCAAAATTGGCTGTTAATTCCTATTTATGTTCGTCGTAGGTAAAGTATAGTTTGCAAGTCATTTTATAAACTTCTCTAGACACTCGTTTTTATTAAACACTCGCTCGCAGGCTTCGATCGTGCCTAAAATGGCGTTTATAAAACTTGATAAATAATATACTATACAATTTATTAATATTTTACAAGATGGGCATTTTAACGATTGTATTACATTTGACAACTATCAACTAACTTAAAACTAACTTTAACCCGTGACTAAAACGCCTTAAAGCCACAACTCATCAATGTGCATTTAAAAGGTTACTTACACTGAGAAAAGTAAACTCTTATTTTAATGTTTTAATTATAATTAATAATAATAATAATAATTATTAACTGAACAGTGTTTGCTCATTCAATACGAACAATTGTTTGTAATTGTTTTATTTAAAAGTCTTGAAATGTTACCTACAGTTTTTTACATTTAACTCGTAAAGTTTTTAAGGTAGTTGTCGTGGTACAATATTGTCAAAATTTTTTAGATTATACGCACCGTAAAAGTATACGAGCTTGTAGCTAAGTGAATCATAATTTATTCGCAAGACTGTACCCTGGAGACGATACCTTTACGTAATACTTTCAAATATTTTCATAAGTTTTAATCCGGCAACGTCGCTTATGCTCAACCAATAGATATATTGGAGACTGAATCAGTGTTTGAATTTACTGCGGAAATAATATCTATACTCGCGTACAACGTTGCCAAGTTGTTTTTATCTGACACTAGTGATGTATACTTTTTACAAATTGTTGAACTTTAAACGGTTATTTATAAACAATTGGACGGTCAAAAATTTTTAATTATTTTTTTTTAAACTCAGCAAAAATACATTAAAAGACTGTTAGTTTTTTGAAAGCTTCTGACAGTTATTTTTTTTATAACTAAGAAACTGGTACAGAACTACAGAAAGCCTATACAATCCATGTTAATTATCCATTTTTTAATTGAATTTATCTCGGGTTATAGACGGTCAATTGACTTCAAATTTTAAGGATAATTGTATTGTCATGCAGAGTAGGGCAGTAATCGAATAAAATTGTAATCATGAATATAAATAGTAATTATTTTGGTGATTAATGATTATTTATGTAGTCATTATTCATGAATACTTTACTTGAATAATATTCATTATTTATAATCAAATTTTACGTTGTAATCATGAATAACGTTATTTATGAAAGTATGATTATAATTAATATTCATAATCAGAATTAAAGAATAAATTATGTAATTATAATCATTTTGTATAATTACTTTGGTAAATAATCCTTGCTTAACGAATTTAAAGTGAGAACAATGTAACTAAGAAAATTCATTCACTCGTTATATATAATTTCGTCGGGATTAATCATATACCATGACTACAATTATTAATCATTATTCTTTTCCGATAATTGACGATTTCAGTATTTATAACCACTCAAAACGTAAATAATAAATAATATTCGTTATTCATGTTAGAATGATTTATGATTACTTTGTTGTAATCATTATTCATAATTACATTTCATAAATAATAATCATAATCATAATCATAATCGAATACAATTTGCCCCACTCTGTTGTCATGTCCTTAATATGTATACAAAAATTTAAAATGTATGCTTACAGCACGACAACTACCTTAAATATACATTTTATTACTACAAAAATGTACAAAGATTTCAATTAATGCAGATGTTGACCTCGATATAAAACCTTCCAGTTTCCAAGAAATTTAGGGTGGGAAGTTTTAAAATAAACACCCTGTATACAAACTTTATACTAATAAGGTAGATTTAATTAATAAAAATAGAGGCCAATACATCACCAGATCAAAAATACGATTGAGAGGCATTGGCATGCAAAGTATGAGATAACATTACACTCTGTAGTGATTCGCGTTTACAATAATTTTCCAAATAGGCTCAGGGAAAAATCATTAAATTAATTTTAAAATATTGTAAAGTCATTTTTACAATCGATACATGCTGTTACATCATGGATGAATTTAAGGATACATTTTTTATCTATTGTTTTTTAAAAAATATTTTGATTTTTGATGATAAAGAAATTATTATTATTAGCTCAGCCCAAAAAGACTCACTTCTCAGCCTTAAGACATAAATAACTTTTAAATCCGTTGCTCTCGTTAAATATTAAAATATGTGCTACAAATTGTAAATAATATAATTTTATAACATGCATGTCAAGTAAAATCAATTTTCTCATATTTGCATTCTTGAATGATTTTTTTTGCTCGCTATCGCTCGTAAACAAAACTTTCATTCTCGAAAGCAAAAGTAGCATTTCGCAATCTAGCATCAAAAATAACTATAGATCGACCGGGTAACCTCCTAGTCTGTAAAAAAAACCGTTTGGACCAATAATTCAGATCTAATACTTTTAGTAGATATAAAATAAGAGAAATTGTTATATACCAAGCGGCTGACATGTGTCCTGTTGTGCTTCGCTTAATTGTAGACCTTTGCTATGCGTCGGCCTAAAAAGTTTGATACTCACTTCTTAGCCTTATTACATAAATATCTATAACTTAATATGAAATAAAAATCATAAATTTATATTTTAATTTGTATAAAAACTACAAAATAAAGCAAAATTAATTTAAACAAATTAGATATAAGTACCCATAGTCATATTTAAATTAATATTTGTTTCAATCTAAAACTTCTAAATTCAACAAATAATTAATAAAATTCCCTATTGGTTTTAAAACTGAAATAACTTTTTTTCAAGCGTATAACAACTTCATATTATAACACCTATAAGCCTTTAAAGAAAGACTTCTTATATAATATATAAGAAGTCTTTCTTTAAAGGCTTATAGGTGTTATAATATGGAGTTGTTATACGCTTGAAAAAAAGTAATTTCAGTTTTATATTATATTTGTACATAAGTCAAATTATTATAGGCCCTACAATAATGAAAATACATTGGAGTTACATATAAAGAGTGCACTCTTTATATGTAATTGCAATGCATTTTTAACCAAGGTTCCATCCATTGCGTTTAGCTCGAAATCAGCAATAAAATGTAAGATTACAGATCACTGTAAAATAAATTCATGTACATAACCTAGAATATAACATATGCCAAACGTCAAACCTGACAAAATGTCGCAAAATATAATTTAATGTAAGTGCAGAATTATTAAATGCTTGAAAAAAATAGTATATAGGTACAACACAGCGGAGATTAATTGGCAAACTTTGTCTGTTAGATAGGTACTACTAAGTAGCTGGGTCGTTTAATTTAGTTGTAAATAGTAATTTTAATCCTTAAGTCTAAACAAATTTATTTAATATAATTTTGACGTATTTGTAAATAAAAGGTAGTACAAAAAATTAAAACAATAAAAAGACACAAAAACAAGTTGATACCTACTATTACTTCAAATTACTTAAATTATTCTGAAAATTTAATTTCATAATTCGACTGAATTGTCGAGAAACACTCGGTTGATAAAAAATAGTAAAGATGTTTACAAATGAAATTTTGTACCAAAATGTTATCTATTTTATAATTTAATAACGTTAATATAGCCTTGAAAATCAAGAAGCATTATTTAGTACACAATCCTATTAAAAACATACTATTTTCTTAAAAAACGGCTTAAAAGGCAATCCTCCTTATTTAAGAATAAGACATTTACAATTATAATAGGACCACGATAAATAATCAAAATAGTAAGTATATTATGTCTTACCTTTACGCAAAAAGTCACGTAAATGTGAATCAAAGGGGGCTGACGACTCTCGGCAAACGTGATGTCGTCTTTTTCACGACACACTTGTGTTGTTGTACCGTTTAGGCCATATGGGGGTAGGTGTGCTTTGGCAACGATCGCGTTACTTCGCGACAACAGGTCTACTGGTTGTTCGGCGTCGTAGCAAACCAACGTCGGGGCGTCTCTGTAACGCGAGCAGCGACGTCGTTGGAGTCGTCGTGTTGTTGTAGCTTGCGCGCAATCGATATCGCCCGCTCGGCAGGACCGGTCTTTCCTGCAATGTTGCACCGACAATTTTGATGCCAATGTAATACAATTTTCTGGTGCTATAAGAATATTTTTACAAGAATTTTATGTTTTGGCATTTAAACTGTAATTTTTTAAATGACAATGTCAAACCTTGTCCTGTCCATAGATTAATAACCTGTCTGCATATTTATTGACATATTTTGTGTTAAAAGAGCTCTCTCGGACTAGTCCGCACCATAGAGTCAGTATATATTAATTTTTTAACAGTTTCATAAAACCTTTTTGAATATATTTAAAGGGAACAGGAAAAACCTAGCCAATGGTATAACATAATACTATGACCTTTATAATCTGTGGTACTATAGTACCACAGCATATATGCTGAGCACAGTACTACACTGTGTGGAGCATAGTATGCTCAACACAGTCTTACCACGTGACTTTGAAAGGAATAATTAAGGTTAATTTTCTTTCAGTGTAGAGTTTATTTCGTGTTATTTTTTCATGTATTAAGGTCCTAATTTAGATCACAAGAAATACATACCGTAAACACGGGTGACTTTACGGCCATTTCAAGCGCGCGAAACGCACGAATTACAAAACTGTTTTTATAAAAAAAATTGTAGATTATTTATTATATAATATTTTGGCATCAAAATTGTCAAAAATATTCTTCTTTTATTAGGTTATACATTAAATTAAAAAAAACGCAAGAAATATTTTATGAAAGTAGATATAATTTTAATAATTGAAAGGGGTGGACGGGACAAAAAAAAGATTTATCTTGTCCCGTCCACCCCTGTCATTTATTGAAATTATCTCTACTTTTATAAAAAATTTCTTGCGATTTTTTTTATGTAATGTATAGCCTAATAATAGAAGAATATATTTGACAATTTTGATGCAAAAATAATATATAATAAATTACCTACAATTTTTTTTATAAAAACAGTTTTGTGATTTGTCCCGTCCATCCGCTTGAAATGGCCGTTTAGCCCTTTTATGAAAAATCTTTTCGCGCTCGATAAAATTAACATTTATAATTTGTTGGTCTAAACCTGTCAATTGAGCGATTCTGTTGAGTTTATATAACAGGAAAATCAGTGTTTTAAAAAAATAAATTCACTTTAAAATTGTATATATTGCATCAGTGCAAAACTCTTAAAAATACACGCGTTTTAATTTCTATATTATGCGCAATTCTTTGGAATGATGATCCTTGGTTAACTACCTGCAGGTCGATTTCTTATTGTTTTTATCGGCAATCCCTTGCAATTTCAACATGTCGATGCTAACATATTATGTCTAATAAAAATAAAATAAAATATTGAGTTAATTTTATACGGAAAATACACTGTGAGACAAAGTAACCCGCAACCAGGGGGTAACTTTGCACACCCAGTTTTTATTTTTTATTTTTGAAACTCAGCCCTATGTAAGATTATAACATAGTTATTATGAAAAAGCAACTCAAGACTCAAATTTTGGTATACAATATTTATGATTATGATTGTTAAAACTACAAAAATGTTAAGATTAAGTTTTAAAGTGAGCTAAAGCCACCCGCGTTTACGGTGTATTGTATTATTCTTAGAAAATAGTTATTAAGTTTTAAAGTTTTTGTTGTTTGCATTAATCAACAAGCTTGGTGCTTACTAGGTAGTAATTTTAAAGATTGTCAACTTATATGTGTCATCTGTCATCTGTCAATTGCCATCTGTCACCTGTCATCTGTCAACTTGACATCTGTCACATGTCATCTGTCAACTGTCATCTGTCACCTGTCATTTGTCTTCTGTCATCTACCACCTGTCAACTGGCACCTGTCACCTTTTATCTGTCACCTGTCATCTGTGACCTGTCATCTGCCTTTTGTCATCTGTTACCTGGCCTGTTCACTTGACCCTGTCAAAGTGTTGTTGGATACTTTGTTGGGTTCCCCTGTATATGATATGCGAAAAAAATTAAATCGACTTTAGTTCGAAGATCCACCTGATGAATTTTATTAATTATATTTCGTTTGGGAAGTTTATGCAAAAGATGGCAACACCGCAATTAAATTTGGCAACACCCCATTATCACCTAATATTTTGTTGGATCCTCCTGTAAGCTTTTTGATTTTGGAGATTTTAACTTTTTTAAATACCCAACAAAAATTAAACGGGCTTCTGGCCGATTAGTTTTCATTCGATGAAGCTCATCTTTAAGTATGTCAAACTTTGGTCTATAACCAATTCGTGTATTTCGTTCGGCCAATTTCAAAAATTTCTCTCGCCCTAAAAAACGTTTAAAAATTTTTCTAAAAAAATCAAAAAAGATCGCTGCTCGAAAAGTTTTATTTGATCCGGCAATAGGAAACCAATTATCGTCCCGGAGCACCTTTTCCTAGAGTTTGGCAGGAAAAATCTCCGCTCGTTCGAAAGTTACGCGATTTCAAAGGAACGGACAAAATTTGACGGATAAATGGAAAAAAAGTGGACTTGGACGTTTTCGAAACCGGAAAAATTTGGTCCACCGATAGGTCTCGTGGGCACAAAAAAGGATACAAATTTCGAGGGTCCACCTTCAACGGCTTTCGAGCAACGGCGCGCCGCGGCGGTTCGAAAAAACCGATACACAGACACCCACAGACTCACAGACAACGGACAAAAAATAAAAAAAATAAAATTCGATTACGAGTCGATACATACCTTTAAAGTTGCCCTTGTTGTCCTCCTTGTTACTTTTTACAAGCAAGCAGAATTTTTACGTTTTAAGAAATTTTTTAAAAAATTTGGACTCTAAATTACCCAATTCTACACGTAACTTTTTTTCATGCTAAAATGCCTTTATGCCCCTTTATATACAAAGACTAGTAACTAGTTCAAAAGTCAAATTATTACAAACCTAAAAATATAAAAGGTAGTGTCTCCCCGACCGTCGGACGGACGTAGAAAAGTGTGTGCTCGACCGTCGGACGGACGTAGAAATGTATGTGCTCAACCGTCGCATATTTTAACCTCATTTTCAACTAGAGGCTAAATCTGTGGGTAAAAGGCATAAGGGGATAAGTCAAAACAATCAATTTTTTAGTATTGCCTTAAACGTGTTCGCATTAATTTAGAAAATATATTTATGGTTATCGGGTATATCCTTTTGCCAGCACATGTCATATGCTAGCAAAAGGGTATGCTCGCTAACCATAAATATATTTCCTAAATTAATACGAACACGTTTAAGTCTCTACCGAAAAATTGCTTTTTTTGACTTATCCCCTTATGCCTTTTACCCACAGAAATGTAGCAAAGTATTCCTCAAGGTTATGACGAATAGCTGTCATTTTGGTTATGCAGGTACACTGCATGGTGCCATACCAAACTAACCCAAACTTAACAACCCAACCCAACCGACCCCGCCCCATTGGGCCCCTCCCGCCCCATTGTCACAATCCAGCCTGCCCTTAGATATATTATAACTCTATTGCTCAATGGGGCGGGGTCGGTTGGGTTGGGTTGTTAAGTTTGGGTTGGTTTGGTATGGCACAATGCAGTGTACCTGCATAACCAAGATGACAGCTATTCGTCATAACCTTGAGGAATACTTTGCTACATTTAGCCCAAAGAACACAGTTCTTTGATTTAGCCTCTAGTCATTTTCACACGTTTGTACGTCCGTCCGACGGTCGAGCACACACATTTCTACGTCCGTCCGACGGTCGAGCACACACTTTTCTACGTCCGTCCGACGGTCGGGGAGACACTACCAATATAAAAATAAAGCTAAAAATGTTATCATGTCAATTGAACCTAACCTAAAAATGATGTGATAAAATCTTAAACAAATATTCTAATTAACGCTACGTTTCGAATCGTGGCGATAGAAACAGAATTAAATTTACACTTTAGCGACTTTTCCGAAAAACTACATGGGGATTGCCAAAATGCAACAAATAGGTGTAGAGGGATGTAAAAGTGCATAAACAATCGGCGCAAGGTGAAAAAGTTGTATAATTATCACGTAATTAATAAAAAAAGGGGCTGATAATTGAAGTGACTTACAGTGATTTTCTGTGAAAAAGAGCATGTAGCGAGCCAAAACACGTACTATATAATATACGTAGAATTTGAAAGTAAAGTGAAAAAGATTGAATTATGAAAAACAACATAAATTGCGGAAAATGCAATTATTAAAATCAGATAATTTGAGGTTATGCAGGTTCACAATCCAGCCTGCCCTTAGATATATTATACCTCTATTGCTCAATGGGGCGGGGGGGGGGGGGTCAATGGGGCGGGGTCGGTTGGGTTGGGTTGTTAAGTTTGGGTTGGTTTGGGTTGGTTTCGCTCACTTGCCCATTTTAGTGTACCTACATAACCAAGATGACAGCTAATCGTCATAACCTCAAATTACCTGATTTTAAAAATTGCATTTTCCGCAATTTATGACGTTTTTCATAATTCACGCTTTTTCACTTCTACTTTCAAATTCTACGTCTATTAGATACGTGTTTTTGGCTCGCTGCATGTTCTTTTTGACAGAAAATCACGGTAAGTCACTTCAATTATCAGCCCCTTTTTTATTAATTACGCGATAATTATACAACCTTTTCACCCTGCGTCGATTGTTTATGCACTTTTACATCCCTCCACACCTATTTTTGGCATTTTGGCAACTTTCCTGCTGTTTTTCGGAAAAGTCGCTAAAGTGAAAATTTACCGAAACAGATGAAAAAGAACCAAGTCTTTGGGAGCTGTAAACATCAAAACTTGGACTATAATGGTTAAATCATTAATGACTAGAAATAGGTATTTTAAAATTTTTAGTCCATTTAAATACTCAATACTAGGTTATAATGTGGGTCTTTAGGGGGCCCTCTTAAGGTCGCAGCACCATCAGACTTGTTCTGCACGCCACTGCTTTATTTGACACGACTGCTAAGCCCGCTGCACGATAGCCCGGTAACGGGAACGGAAATCTTAACATTAAAG